CCAAAAAGTTGAGTGAAAAACTCAGAACAAAATTTCCTGCCACTACACGTGGCTACTCCATGGCAAAAATTGCCTGTCTCGATGGTGCTTTCTCAGAATGTTTTAAACTGGAAGCAAGCCCAGTAGAAGGTCAATCACTGCAGCAAAAAGAAAAGAAAAGGAGAAAAAAGAAAGGGGAAAAAAATCGAAAAGCCTAAAGACGCAGTTCACTTGTTTATTAAAAAGAAGTTGTTAAGAAGTGCATTTGTGATATATCTGTGAATTTATCTGTCAATTTATTCCAGTCAGGAAATTTGACGGTACTCCATTAAAACAACAAGATTTTCCCGCCTGTTGGTGACCGTATTGACGGGCTTCCACTCTGTTTAGAAATTGAATTGTTAAGTTTGTTTTTGTTTTCCTTCTTTCTTCAGCCGTACTCCAGGCAGCAGACAACCTTCCCCAACTTCAGGTTCACAGCAGCAAGATGGTCAACAGGCCACTCAGCCACAGCCACCATCTCAGCCACCAGTGGGCCAGAACAAAGGCAAGCCTTTTAAACAGTCAGATCCTATGGAAGACATTGTCACACCTGTGGCCTTAATAGATCCTCTTGAAAGTGTGCAACTGGAGCAGCTGCCATTTGCTACCCAGAGGGAGCCTGTGATTGGCACTCCTACAAGCCCTTCAGACTTTGTGATGGTTTCTGGGGCATCCTTGCAAGGCCATAATAATGTCACTTCTCAGCATGGTCAATCTCTTCACCTGACACACCAGCATCAGTTGGCGCTGGCAATGGCTGCCCAACAACAGCAGCAACAACAACAACAGCAACAGCAGCAACAGCAACAACTGGGAATGCAGTCTGGCTTACAGTCCACAGGCATTGGACATCCAAACCCATATTTCATTACTGCACAGCCTACACAAGATCCATATGGTAATCCATCACTTGCTGCTGTCAGTGGTGGTGCACCTCAAGTGGTCCATCCTCAGTATGCAGCATATAGTGTTCAACCATGGGGTATGTATTCTGCTGGAGCGTCCAACACAGGAGCTGGGTACCTCCAACAACAGCAACAGCAACAGCAGCAGCAGCAGCAGCAACAGGCTCAACATGCTCAGTTACTTCGTTCCAACTCAGGAGGGATGACTGGGCGGCCCATGCAGGGGCAGATGGAAATCATTGGGACACCACCATCACACCAGCAGCAGGCCATGGCTGCAGCTGCATCTACTGGCACTAACTACCAGCTAATTGCTCCACCTGGTACAACACCATTAGGGTTAGGAGCCACGGCATATTATGATCAGTCAGGAAACTTGGTGCTTGGAAATGCTCAAAATGTCAACAACATGGCTACTGCCCAAATGGCTGCTGGTCAAATAGGAGCCCTTAGAATGGTGTCACCAGTGGTGGTAAATGCTCAGAATGCAGGTGCCAGTTCTGTTGCAACAGGACGAATGGGAACTGCCAGTTCAATGGGTGGGGCATCTAACATTGGGCTTTTTGGACAACAGACACAACAGCAGCCACAATTAAACAGCAGTGCCCTGGGATTGCTTGGTAGTGTTGTGGGAGGTACCTCCGGTGTTGGTGCTGTAGGAACCATTCCAGGAGGAGGAACAAGGAGAGATTCAATGAATGCCACAGAATTTGGCAAACGTGCAGGAATTACCCAGTACTATGCAGCCCCAGGTGCTGTAAGCAGTCTTGCCAGTTTATCAATTTCAGCACAGCCTTCTTACAATGCTCCTCAGGAGCTACCAACTCCTCCTCTTCTCTCACAGGGACAGTCGGGTTTTGGTGGCCAGTCAGGATATGGGGGACAGTCTGGCTTCACTGTTGGTAGCCCCATTTCTAATGGGCTCTCACGTTACATGCAACTTGCAGCTGCTCCAAGGGAGTCCCACACTAAGTATCAAGCATCACTTGGTAGCCTTAGTGGAATGCAATTTGGCACTTCTTCTCTTGGGGGAAGCAGCTTTCGAGGGTCTAGAGGGAAAGAAACTGGCAGGAGTAGACTTCTAGAGGACTTCCGCAATAATCGTTACCCAAATATCCAGCTCCGAGACTTAGCAAATCACATTGTGGAATTTTCTCAAGACCAGCACGGTTCAAGATTCATTCAGCAAAAATTGGAACGTGCTTCTCCCAATGAAAAGCAGATGGTGTTCCATGAAATCCTTCCAGCTGCATACAGTTTGATGACTGATGTGTTTGGAAACTATGTTATTCAGAAGTTCTTTGAGTTTGGGAGTTCTGATCAGAAGCATCACCTTGCAAACTGCATCCGTGGACATGTGTTGCCTCTTGCCTTACAGATGTATGGATGCCGTGTGATACAGAAAGCGTTGGAATGCATTTCTCCAGATGTTCAGGTATGGCGGCTGTCAGTAATTTATGTTTTATTGAGCCCCGGTTATTCAGAAGGACCCGCAAAGCTACCCATGAAATCCGTCACTATTTAGTTGATAGTGTAGATTGTTTTGTCAACATTTGTGATTTGACTTTTATAAAGTGGATATTATCTGCTCTGAATAACTCTATTTCGTAATGACCACAAAGTTGCTAAGTAAGGATTATAACTGTCTTTTCTGGAAGTCCTGAACTTCCACAGTTAGTTGATCATGTTCCACTGAAGTCACAGTTGTACAAAGGAGAGCTACAAGCTTTCTTGTCTGCTCAAAACTACTTAGCGAGATGTAAGGGAGGCATAAGATATACCTGATCAGCTTGAAGGGATAAGAATAGTAGATAGAGAAGATAGACAACTTCAGAAGGTTGTGAATTAACAACCAGATTTCACTCTAAAGTAAACCTGTTACAGTGTGACTACCCCAACCAAGGCCACCCGACAAACTTCTGTACAACTGGGCAAGTGAAATCCTCAGATGTTTACAATAGATATCCCACAAATTGATGTTATGGCCAAGTTGTACAGTACAGAAACAATGACTTTGTAACCAGTTAGATTGGTTTAACATGCACACTGAAGTCCAAAAATGGCTTGCATAGCCCCATCCAGATGAAGTTAAGCAGATAACAAGTGAATATTAACAAGCAAAATCAAATAAAGATGCTCGGGCTGAGGAAGGTTAAACATTTTACAGACATTAAAACATTGACCGATTATTTCATGATGTGTTGTCTTTGACTCAGTCCCTCTGAAGCAAATGATAAATTTGTCCTCCTTGTATTTTAATGTAACTAGCTGTGTGAACTGAAGCTATCATCGTTTGTCTCATTACGTCTCATCATGTTTACCTGATGCTAACTTCGTTTATGTCTGTGTTTTAACTTTAGAATGATCTGGTGAGGGAATTAGATGGACATGTATTGAAGTGTGTCAAGGATCAGAATGGGAACCATGTGGTACAGAAGTGTATTGAGTGTGTTGACCCATCCTCTCTTCAGTTCATTATTGGTGCCTTTCAAGCTCAGGTAAATTTTGTGTGATTCAGGGTACAATTACTTATGTTCTGTGCAGTGCATGCATGTACATCTTCCAGAAGATATTTTTTGTTTGTATTCCATGACCCTATTATTGCAAGGGTGAATAGCACAAGCTGGCTTATAAATCATTTTCCAGAGGTTAAATGCTTATAAATCAAATAGACTCTCTACTGGAAAGTGGCTCATCTGGTAGAAGGTGACAGTGGAACCTTTTTGTGGGGAAGCTAGAGCCATTTTTTTTATTTATTGCCCTAAAGTAGCAGTTTAAAAAATTAACAACTCTGAGGTCTTTAAAGGGTTTAACTGTAGAATAACATGTCAAAAGTTCTGTTACGGAGTGAAATGTGTTTATTTATAGGTGTATGCTCTGTCAACTCATCCTTATGGGTGCCGTGTCATCCAGCGCATCCTAGAACACTGCATGCCAGAACAGACATCTCAAATACTGGATGAACTTCACCAGCATACTGAAAGACTAGTTCAAGATCAATATGGCAACTATGTGATTCAGCATGTCCTAGAACATGGCACACCTGAAGACAAGAGCAAGATTGTCCATGAACTCAGAGGCCACATTCTTATTTTTAGCCAGCACAAATTTGCAAGGTACTGTTTCTTTGAGGAAATTACATTGTTACCAGACTGGTATGAGTTGCTGTGCTACCTTTTTTACTGAAAGACCATGCGCATGCTTTTGCCTTGAAAGGGAAAATCTTCTTTTTAAACGTAGGTAAAGGTGTCTGACAATGGTTTACAGTACTTAAATTGGTGGATGTAGTACAACCCATGATCAGCATGTTAGGAAACCACATTTTACAATGTTTAATTAACCAGGTTGGGGTAATAGCCACTTAAACTTTATGCAACCATGCTTGGCTGATGACAAGATATCTAGAATCATCTGCAGCTCACAGAATGGGGGTTGAGACTTTAATGTTTAATAATAGGGATTACTGAGCTCGGTTTTGCTCATGAAAGTGTTATTTATCTTGTCAGTGGAAAGACATGTTATTTAGCATTGACTGGAAATTCTCATTCAGCTTTGAATGTAATGACATAAAAATGAGTTATTTTGTACAGAAGAAAACTTGGTGTGCAAGTTGCTATTCTATCTCTGTTTTGTAGTGCAAGGTTGTAAAACTAAGTTCTTCTTTGAAACTCATATTTGTAATTTAATTTTCAGCAATGTGGTTGAAAAATGTGTAACCCACGCATCTCGTGCAGAAAGAGCTATGCTCATTGATGAAGTTTGTAGTAGTAATGACAGGTATTCCTCTTGATTGTTTGTACCATTGAGTAATCTTATTTTTATTTCTTAGAATGTCTAATTTGGAGTAGTACAGACATCAATTGATGAGATTAATTTCACCCATTGACACCTGCATAGAATTGCACATGACCACCCCTAATTTCCTGGCGTTTTTTTTTTTTTAATATTTCAGAGCAAGCAAAAGCACAAAAAATAAACCATATAGGCAGTAACCACAAACACAAGGTCGGGTTTCAAGACATCATTTACCTATAGTTTAATAACTGAAGGGCCAAAATATTTAAAAAAATATCAAAAAAAGAACTCAACCTGGTGTGTAAAATCGATTAGAAAACAAGAAATAATATTACCAGGTATCTCTTTGTGTGCGAAAAAAATTCCAAACAGAAGTCGAGAGCATTGATTATGCATAAATTAATTAATAACAGTACCGATCAAAAGAAGCCTAACAGGGAACGCTTGACAGGACTCGTTCTGTTGCTGTTCCACACGCGTTCCCGTTCTGTAATAAGGTGATTGGATAACTGTTCATAAACACTCAACATTTTGTGATACTTTTAGTGGAAAGGAAAAAATAGGAACTCTGTTCTCCCTGGTTCCATTGTTGGAGCCTCGTAACCATTGACGCCTATGCCACCCTAAAAATAAGGATAGTAGTAAAAGGAAAAGCGAAAAAAATATTTAAAAAACCAAAGACCCTAAAGACGTACGTCACTTTCTTGTCCAACAACGAAATCTCTAAATTTTGATTTCTGCGCATGCCCCATCAAAAATGTCTTAAAATGCAATGCTAGTGGAAAGGAAAGGCATGCTGTCATGTTGCAAATGTCTTTTCGAGTAGATTGGAGCTAATTTGGCTCATATCCAGGCTGACAATGTCCAAAAAATATATGTTTTTGGCAAAAAGCTCCAGGAGACAATGGGCTAAACGTTGATTTGTAGTTTTCCTTTCCGGTTTAAGTCCCAAAGAAGTTATTAGGAATGAAAACAAGATGTTGGAAGTTTGTAGATTTGACCTGCAAGGCACCATGGTTATAAACACATTTTGAACTCACAATTTCAAGACTAAAAACCATCTTCTTAGGACCCGTAAAGTCGTCAAAAAATATGCTCAGGAGGTCAATTCTGATTGATTTATTCGTCCTTAACAGCAATTGCTGGTTTGCACTGTCATGCACTGTGACACCAAATATCGTAACCGTTCAATAAATTATCTCAAAAATCTGGGATTTGATAGATGATTGTTATATAAGCAACCTCGCCAAGATTGAGGTCTGAGCGGTTTTTCATTTGTGTGTTATTTGGAGAAGGGTTTAACCCAAATTTATACAGCTTTGTATGGAGACACCATGCTGGTGCCCCTCGGAGGGACACAAACGTGGCAGGCGTAAAGTAACAGAAACATCTGTCATTGAGTTTTGCTATTTAAACGAAAAGTTATTAGAAATATAGCCGTGTTTTCAAATTTCTGTGGCATACTGTTGGACAGTGCCTGAATCTCCCACCTGTGGGGTTTGCTTTCAAAATCAAATGGCACAGAGCATTGGCTGCTGTCTGGCTTAGGGTAGAAATTAAGGTTAGGAATCTGTAGAATGGTTGGTTTTCATTGATCGTAGTAAAATACAACTCATGCAAGCCCTGAAATAGACAAAGCACTTAGTCAGTGAGAGCAATTTAATACTTTACCATGAGGGGTACAACAGGGAATTTTAAGTGCGTTCAAAGTGGTCAGACACTGTCTGTAAGTGGTGGCTGTCAGGACTTTGTAGAGTTTAGACTGAGTGCCAAGTACTCTTTGCTTTATCTGATCTTGTCCCATTTACAGTTTTATTTTAGAATTTTTAAATGTTGGCTAACCTGTGACATGGTGATGATATTGAATCTTATTTGGTACAATTTTCTCTTCCTGTAGTGCCTTGTATACCATGATGAAAGATCAGTTTGCAAATTATGTCATCCAGAAGATGATTGATGTGGCTGAACCCCCTCAACGTAAACTCCTGATGCACAGGATTCGACCTCATGTTGCTACACTGCGCAAGTACACATATGGAAAACACATTTTGGCAAAGTTAGAAAAATATTACATGACCATGAAGCCCACACCTGATTTTCTCCCTTTGACCAATGGTCCTTTACTTTAGAAAAATTTCTTATCCCAGCCATGTTGTTTTCTTCCAAATGTTATCAGACTATTTTGAATAGATGTTTTAAAATTTCATTCTTAAAACATGAATCTTAAAGCTGATTTTGATCTAGATTTACTTTCAATTGATTCAGTTGAGCATAGTTTTCATCTTTGTATTATTGTAAATTATTCAGCTTATATTATCCTGTCTAGTGAATTGTTGCTTTAAAGTGTTTTAGTGTCTTTAAACAAAGTATGCAAGGTGGTTCTTACTGGCAAGTTCAAACATTGTCAGATTCAAGCTTGTATTTTATCATTTCAGTGGACTGTTATGAATCTTAATGAACTGGCTGTGAAAGAGTTCAGCCGCACTCGGAAAATTAAGTTGCATATCAATTGCATGCCTAGCATAACTTATAAATTTATTGTGAATTATGTATGTTTGTCGAAAGATGATCATAGTCCTGATGGATTGAAGAGATTTTTGGAAACGTAATAGTTGCACATACATGTACTCAACTGAACAAAGTGTAAAACAGAAACAACAAATAATGCTGATCATATATGAAGAGCAAAGACATTTTCTTGGTATTCTTATCCTATGTGGGTTTTTAGGAGTTGTAAACGTTTATCAATTCAATACTGTTGTAATAATGCAGTGGACATTTTACTATGAAACATGAGCCTTCAAAAAGAAATGAATTATGTATAATAAGTTAAGTGTACAATTGTACCATATGTACAGGAGATGGCTTGTTAGTATGGATAGTTAAGGACTGTTAATCTATTGCCTGTAAATTGTAATGATTTTGAATAAGCTTAGGAACATTCTTATGGTTGGTGAATTTGAATCTGTGGTAATTAGCCTGTGCTTGATAATTCAGAGTTGTTCAATCTTGGATATTTGTTTCCTCAACAGCTAGTTAGTTCAGTGGAACACTTTTTCATTCCAAAACCGAGTAGTAGACTAGGAGCAAGTCCATCTTATAATGAATTTTGAACACTGAATTTTCTTACACTTAGCATATTCTGTGGTAGGAAAATTTGTCAGGTCAATGCATTTGAAGAGATCTTGCATATTTGCTTTGTCTGGTAAGCTACAGCGTAATTCCAGGAAGAAAGAGAGTCAGTTAAATCAATTCCTTTTCACTTCAATCGTTCGGTTGCAATTGTAGAAGGTTATAAAAATTGCTTGCTCAAATACTGTTTTTGCATTCTGTAGCAAACCTATTAGCATGTACAGGATAAAAAGTTGCAGCTGAGTAGAATCTATTGCTAGAACATGACTATCACTGCTTTACAGAAATTAAAACCTTATGGCGACAATGGTAATGACAACACTGTTGATGTGAAAATTGATGATGAGCATTCCTCATGTAATAAAGAGAGAATTGCCGAATACTCACAAGTTAATGTTTTTCCAACCTTCTAATAGTTGTAATTGATTTTAAATATCACTATTAAACTACCCGGTTCTTGCTTCAGAATTAAGAACAAGAAGTGTAAATGTTTCAATTAATGATGAAAAATCTTTCTTAACCATGCCTAGCTGGCCGATGGATAGTTAGGTCTGAATATATAATTAACTGTTGTTTATTGAATGAGTGAGCTCTAACCTTGAGGAGACATTAAGTATCGCTTGATTGCCAACCATGTTTCAAGAACATTCAAGTTTCTATGTTTTGTACGTATGTTGTGAAATATTTGGATTTAATTCAGTCCACATGAACAACCCGAGCTTCTATATATTTGATTCAAAACATTGTAACAAAATTAAACCATAAAGTAATAATTTTTCAAGTTATTAGATGTATACCTTTGGCCACTTTAATGAAATTCCTGTACATTTTGTACATTTGTAAATGACCACCCGTGAATACAGTGTATTACTTTGTAACCAACGTACTGTATAAAGAACCTGCAAATACTTGTTACACTGACGATCGTAAAGGGCAAGTCGTTGTTTTGTGTAGTAAGGGTTGTATTTTTTCAAAAGTCTGGTAATATCGATTATCTCTGGTTTCCTTTGGTTCTCCACAAAATAACGACTTGTCCTTGTGACTCGATGCCGGGCAGGGCAGTTTTCCTTTAGTGACTAGTTCGTTCCACTGTTCATATGTATCCAGGAATAGACTATAAATAAAAAATGACATGGTATAGAGTATGGATTCTGTATCATGTCAATCAAATGCATGTAGAACTTACTGCCGTTTTAGGTTTTAATGTAATTTTAACAGGTTCGTTTTTTCCCGAGCCTTACAGGTGTCATGAAGCAGAAGGGTTTGTGTTTTGTATTTTATTGTGTAATACTGATAGTACCGCCTTGTACAATGTATGCGGTTGTGTAGACGATTGTAAATGATGTAAAGAAAGTAGTCTTTTGAATTGCTATATTAAAGGTTAAGGTGGTTGCACAAATAAATCGTTGTTTATTGCTGTGGCTTGATAGGTCATATACTCATGACGGCTACAAGTTGTGATAGAAAGGCATTGACATGGCCAGTAGCTAACACGACTGAGCTGCTCGCCTAAGATTTTTTTCACAGCCGCCGGCCAATTGCTGTGTGTTTTGCCGGGGAAAAAACATCAAGTAAACGAGTAATAATCATGGATTAGCTGAGTGCGTTCGAGTCAATACAGTTAGGGACTGTGCAATAATTTCCTGGAGGGGAGGGCTGGGAAATGGGTGGAATATGCCCTAAAACTAAGTCATACCCCCCTCTCATTAAGCAAAAATTTATTTCAACCCCCTCCCCTCCCCCTCACATAATGATAATATTAAGGCCAACCGTCCCCTCCCCCCTCTTGAAAAAAGTTTCCTCACATTGATTCCCTCATACCTAGTTTACTTGTTGGATTTCTTCCTCCGGTACAAACATCACTTCAAATGACTCTTCGACGTGTGTCGAAGAGTCATTTGAAGAGTCGTCAGAATCACTGGACTCTGAGCTTGTGTCGTCTTCGCATGAATTGGGAGATTCCTCATCTACAGCATCTGACACTAAGGTTTCCGCGTGCGTGGGTGAGGACTCGATCAATCAACTCGGCCTTGCTTCCACTTATCTTAAGACCTTTTTGATTAAGATACATTTTCAGCTGCTTGTTGGTAAGCGCTTTTACATCTTTTTTAATTGTCCAAGAAATAAGCGGAAGAGTGTTCTTTCTCTTACTCTTTGGTTTTTGCATGGAGGAACTCGAGGTGCTGTACATAACTTTTACATGCAGTCTCGTCCGTGTTGTACTGGGAACATACTTCTTGCAGACCTTTCTTCAGATAGGAAAACAACAGTTCATAGATCAGAACACCTTGGAGTAGATAAATTTGTCAGTTTTATTCCAATGTTAGTGTTTGTATTTGAACTCTAAGAACTTCCACTACTTTTCCAGTTTGCTAAAAGGAATGAAAAAGTAATGCCCCCTGTATGTATTAAATTTTACATCCACCCCCTCCCCCCTCTCTCTCTTGTTGTCATTTTCTCCTATGCACCCCCCTCTAATTTTCCAAACCCCCCTCTCTCTCCAGGTAATTATTGCACAGTCCCTTACAAGCATTGGATACTGCCTGGATAATTATATTGTCACACCACGTTCCTGGTTTTGACATTTGCTTTGTTAATTTTGGCAAATATCATCCACCATGCGAATTTGTAAGTGCAAATCAGCAGTTTTATAGAGGTAATGTGATACAGACTTAAAAAAGAAAACAGTCGCCACTGCCGGTGCTACGAACATCCTACGGAATTACAGGCTAAAGGCTTAAATTTGCAAGTCTTTCACTTAGGCAACCCCAGGCTAAGTCTCCATTGACATCTCCGGGAAACAAACCTCCTTTTAAACAATTTAATATTGTAATAATTTCCAGAATACATCTAATATTTTCATGCAATCTATCACTGAGTTACATAGATTTTCGGAGTAAATATTACTCTTAAAGCCCAATTTATATTTGTTGATTTTATGACGAACACGGTATATTTTGAAAAATAGTGGTAACTTCTACACCAAAAGGACACTTCAAGATTTGCGGCCAGCGGTCCTCAGTCAACGTCTTGTAATCTACGGTCTGAGGTCCACTGTATGGAGTCTGTAATCTGTAGTCTGCAGTCTGCAGTCTGCGGTCTGCGGTCTGCAGTCTGTAGTCTGCAGTCTATAGTCTGCAGTCTGTAGTTTGCAAATGTCAGACACCGCTTCAAATCCTCGATCGATATTCAAAACTTAAGCCTTGTTCTCATATGCCACCGACATACCTGGGACATACCCGCCGGCATGGCCCGGATCATAATCCGAATCATAATCATAATCATAAGCCGAATCATAATCTATTCCAGGCATTGACCGTCGGCTTACCTGCGAAGTTGAGCTGAGTTCTTCGCAGGCAAGCCGGCGGTTGTAAACATCATCTGCGGGCGCAACGTACTCCAGTAAGACGATTCGATCCATATCTACAGGTAAAATGGTTGAAAATTGCGCAATTCGATTTGCATTTCGCGCAAATTTGAGTACGTCGGCGATCCATCGCAGGTGCGCCGGGGACCCACTGGGACAGATCGCTGAACGTTGTCAGTTGCAACCGGCGACTACGTCGCAGGTAGGTCGGCGGGATATAAGAACCAGGCTTTATGTAGAAGTCAAATCGAAGCTTCAACCCCCCCCCCCTCCCCGCCCCGGGCATACCCCGGATATTTGACGCCTTTTCCTGCACGGGGGGAAGGGAATTTGATCATCTTAGTCTTCCCGGGGGTGGGGCATTTGATCACCACTCATAAGGGGTGGGGAATTTGATCGCTAGCCTCGATTTCATGTCATGTGTCCCGCTGATTCCACGAGGGCTAATAAATCATGGCGGAGAAAAACTTTGATGAATTCAAAGAAAAAGATTGCGGATTCGTCGCGGATTCGCGGCGGATTGGTTGAAAACCAAAGGCCTACACAAGCTTTGTTCCGTATTATAATTATTGAAGAGGCCTTCAAGCAGGGGATTGAAGCTCAAGGCGGCCTTATCACATCGGCTAAAAAGTGTTGCCTTTCCTTAAAGGAAATGAAGATTTGGGTTAGCCATCTTCAAGAAAAGAAGGAAAACCGTGCAAAGGCAGTGCAGAAAGCAAAAGAAACAAGAGGAAGGAAGAAACAAAAGTGATTTCAACAGAAACAAACATATTTTACACTGATATATTCTTTAAATAGTTTAAGTTCATTTTGAAAACTACGCAAATTTGAAAGTTCGCATTGATACTGACAGAGCGGTAGTAGCATACAAATTTATAGTTATGTTCTACATCGACAGAGTGCTAGTATGATTATTTCAATTAAACTAATAAAAGTTTACATAATTAAAGGTTTAATAATTTGACACCAAAATTTGGCAACTTAATAATTGTTTCTCTTTTACTGATGTGTCCAATATTTAACAAAATTGGCTTCAGTGAAACAGAGGTATTAAATTCACATATTTTAAATTGAAATATTCTCTACGTGTTTCTCTACGAGTAGAACATTGGTCTAGTGTAATAATAACATACAGTTGATCCACATCGACAAAACGCTGCTTTTATATTAGAGGTTTATTGATAATAATTCGACATCAAAGTTTGTCAACTTTGTTATTTGTTCTCTTTGATTATTACCTGTTACCTGTCCTCTCCGTGCCTTGTGGCATGTAGGGCCTTGGTTCTCTTTGGTGTTGTCTATTAAACCATGTTTACATACACAACTTCACAAGCATAATAGAAGCTACTGAAAAGTTAAAACAGTAATCTGGTAATTTTTCCGGGAGTGGGGAAATTTGATCACCTGAAATGGACCTATTATGGGGCATTGAACAGCTTTTTGGCCCGGGAAGGGTAGGATTTGAACAAAAATTTTCCAAAAATTGAAATGCCTGGGGGGTTGCCCGGGGGGAGAGAGTGTTGAAGCTTCGATTTGACTGGTACATTACTTGAAAACGTACAACCGATCGTCATGGTTTGAGGACTCTGTACTCGTTGATCTTCCATTCTCAGGCCACCTAATAATTGATTTGTATTTTTCCTTTCTATTTTTAATCTCAAAGTAGTAATTTCTCTACATGTCAGGAATGAAAACAAGACCACATGAGATCGAGGCCATTTGTGCCACGCAGCCGGCCAGTCTAAGCTGGCGTCCAAACCCTGAAATCATGTGGCATCGCGATCGAGAGCCGCGGGACATCATAAGTTCCGCGGGAAAAACGATCGAAATAGTATGCGTTCTCCTTCGTCGAACGCAATTAAGAAGCTTTAAGAGCTTAGAACAGGGACTGGATGACCCCTTTCGGATGAAAGGAGCGGCGCAGCATAGTGAAACCTTTATAAATTTAATCACGCGATTAACGAAAACCTGATTCAAAGGGCGCGAGGGTTTTCGGATTAGCTCCAACTATAAAGACTTTGACGAGACCAGCGTGACTAATTTGTGACACAGGACAGCTTGCGTGACGAATAAAGATACTACATTCACCGACCTATTGAAGCTGACGTTAACGAAGTTAACGAACAGAAACCCGACACCTGTCACTACAGTAGCTATACCCAAGTGTCGTACCCTTTCCGAGACCATCTCACGGATCCTACTGCCCTACAACATCCGTGTAACCCACAAACCTACAACTTCGTTACGACACTGACCAACGTTAAAACAGGGATGAATCCAGCAGCAGACCGGGAGCAAATGCTCCGACTGCCAGGCTTCCTACATCGGTGAGACTGGTAGAAACCTTTACACGAAACTGACTAAACACAAACAAGTTGCGAGAAATGGTGACGCCAACAATTACCTTGCTAAAATAAAGAAGCCCCGACTGTGCTCTGTTCTGTTGTAAAGCACGCAGGAAGCGGTAGAGCACGAAAGAAGTGTAGGGGAAAACACGAGACGTAGTCGAG